CTTTAGGGTCTTCCAATTTGAGGCCTCGGGCCACATGTAATCAAAGTCTTCTTGTGTGTGAAGCCTTGAGCCCACCTGGTACACACTGGGTAGTGGGTTGCAGTGAGAAGAAAGGCAAGCAGAGCCAGGGAGGAGCCTGGTTAGATCCTGGCTCCAGTACTTTCCACCTCCATGACATCGGGCAAGCTTTCTGCCTTCCAGAAATAGTTCCTTCTCCTATCAAGGAGCAGAGACATGTGCGTGGAGTTAAAACTTCCTCTGCCTTCCTGGCACAGCAGTCTTCCTGCTTTCTCCTCAAGGCCCCTCGGAGGCCAGATAGAGTAGGGTAGGTCACCCAGAACAGGATTTCATCCACATTTACTAGCCTCATGTCACATCTTTGGGCCCTTTTGCCTCGCTTTGATAATTTCTTCCCCTGTGAATGCCTCTCTGCTGGGCCTTTGTGGATTACAACCTGGCTTCTCCAAAACATTTATCACTAGTATTTACCAGAGTTACTAAAAACCCCAGTTTACTTTACATCCTAAGAGAGCTTTTGAACTAAAAATATGCTAGATAATGATTAAGAACTAGGACGAAACTGGTCCCAAGAGCTACTGACCCAGAAGCCCTCCGATGTCTCGATTTCTCTGTGAAGGTCTCAGGGAAGGCGGATCTCAGCTACTGTGGGTCAGCGGTGCACTCCGAGGCTGGGCCTCTGTCCAGGACATCTTACACTGCAGAGGGCTCTAAGAGGACAAAGAGAGTGCTCCATTTGCTATTTTTACAAGGTGATTACTGCTGAGCCTTCAGCAAAGACTCACAGCCAGTCAGAGGTCTTTGATGCAGTAATGAGATTCTGAGCCTGTAAGTCAGCCAAGAGCAAGGTCTGGGTGACTGTGGCAGGAAGCAGGAGTGAGGGTCTGTGCTAAGACTTGACAGCAAGGGGAGGGCCTGAGTTACTCCCTCACACACATCCACCTTGTGGGGGCCACTGAGACAAACCAGGTGCCCCAGAGTGGAGTTTGGGGCCATGGAGATATGATCTACCTTCAACTCCAATTGTTCTTAAACTTCTTCCTTTAAGTTTGCAAAAAATTAAGCTCTTGCTTTTTTGTCTATGCAGTGAATATGTAAAGTGACAACAGAAATTCTGAAACAATGGAACCTTCTATTAGCGCTCAGGGCTTGCAACGGGATTCAGTGCCAAGCCAGCCAGAGGTCTGGGTAGCTGCAAACCATTCTCCCAGCTAACTCTAGAAAGACAGAGTTTCGTGCCTCTTTAATATTACTGTTTTATTTTTTTTAAAAACAATTCCTTTTTTAGGGGCTTTTTTGCAGTAGAGAAAAAAATGAGGATTTGGGGGGTGGTTTTTCTGACTGAATTGTTCTACAATCTTACTGGTGATGAGGTTTGCTTTCTTGGAACTGGAATCCTGAAATGGAAGCAGCCTTCGGGGTCCTTCCCCCGCACCCTTCCGTGGTTGTCCACAGGCCTTCAGCTGGAGCCTGCCTTGTTCCCAGATCCACGCTGGATCCAAGCATGTCCTTAGGGAGGGCACGTGTCAGGGCTATAGCCTTTTCAAGAGGGTATCTCATTAACCCATGTCACAGCAACAGGCTGGTGCTGCTTAATGGATTTCCGCTTTACAGATGAAGAAACTGAGGCACAGAGAAGCTGGATAGCTCAGCTGTGTTCCCACAGCTAGTTACTGATAAAGCATGGTTATGGCCTAGTCTGTTTCTAAGTTCCTCTTTGGAACCACCACCCCAGGCCAAGATAAGTCATAACTTACTAGTAACTTCCATACATTGATTGAGCAGTGTTTTGCTGATTCCTCAGAGCAGTTCCCACAGCTTGGATGAGGAAAGCAAGTTCTAGATTGCTAATTACCTGCCTGAGGTCACAGAGCCAGTAGCAGGCTACTACACCATAGAACTTGGATAGAACTTGGGGTCTCAGCTTCTCACCCCTTCCTGGTATTACCAGATTCTTATATTCCCAAAACAGTTATATTTAAACAATTGTTTAGGGCATTTTTGATTGAATTAGGGAGCAGCAGGTGTTGGTCTTGACTTGTTCAGAGAACTTGCAGGCCCATCTTGTGCAAAAATGCCGAACACTGGATGGGCCAGAGACCCAGGCCTGCTCTGCAGGAGACCCGGGCTCCAGCAGTGCCTGCCAGGTGGTTACCAAAGGAGCAGGTGGTGCTGTACAGAATGCTCCTTCTAGAACTGCCAGCTCTAAAAGGCTTTGTAGTCGGTGGCTGGCAGTCCCCTGTACAGGAGCCCTCGACTCTTGGGTTCCTTACAAACATTCTCATCAGTAGCTCTAAGCGCTGACTGGGTGGTTTGAGATGGCTGGTACACGCAGTGCTTTTTTTGGTGCCTGGTCTCAGGGCTTAGTTTTGTGTGTGGTTGGAGGGTCCTGGGTGAGCTTGGGGAAGTACCAGAGTGCTGTGTCAGGGCAGAGGGCTCTGCTACTGAGCTGAAGGGTGCCTGCCTTTGTGTCTTGGCTCAGTCTCCTGCCTGCCTTGCTCCCCGGGATCTCGCCAGCCCAGTCTCTGTGGGAATTCCAAAGGAGTGGAGGTGGACGTGTGACCAAGCACATCTCAGCTTTTAATACCCGGACTATTTATAGGCCTTTGGGGGATGGCTGTGAACAACAGGGTTGGGGAGAGAGTTTAAAGAAATGCAGCAGGGCTGAAAGAGAAAACCATTGCCATGGCTGATTTGGACAAGAACAGGGCAAAGGGCTTTGGAGAGAGATGAAACACACACTTCAACATAATTTCACTTTCTAGAGAAGATCATGTGTATTCTCAGTGCATAAGCTCATTGAGACTCGGGAAGAAGGAGCATTAGGAACCCTGATTTGGGAGCAGAAGGTATGCACTGTCCTGGAAGACATTCCCTATGATGGCTAGCACATTTATAAAGCATTGTTGAGCCTGCTATATTTTCCAAATTCTTGTTTTTCTTTATGTTAATGCATTTTAATAAACATTCCTACCAGAACTCCAGAGACATGTTTTCTTCACTTAAATTGTATTTCTATAGACTTATTCAGCTATGTCAGCTGTATTTGAATATTTCACTTGTTAGGGGAAGTGTACTTCATTGAATGACACATAAATTCTGGAAAAGAGATGATGGATTTCTTGAAAAATAAATAAGAGTTGAAAATAAGTCTCTGGGTCCTGATCCAGCCCCAGCCCTGGATTTCTTTGAGTTGAGAAGGTCTGTGAGGTGGCAGGCAGGGGACAGTGACCCTACCTAACGGTGCAGGCTCCTGGCTGGTCCCGTGTCTGCTGGGAGGCTAGCCTGTCTCACAGAGAAGGGCTCTTCTCTTCCTCTCCGAGCCCCGCCCATGCCCCTACCTCACCCCATCCCCCCCACACCCCCGCCCCCAACCCAGCACCTAAGCTTGAGTGACATTGACTCCTTCCTGCCCACCTGGTGACAGCTGAGGGTAGCTAGCTGTAGGAGGGTCAAGAGGGTCCCTGTAGGATGGTGTGGTCCCAGTTCCTGATTAAGGCGGGGCCTCCCAGCCCTTCCCCTCTGCTGTCAGACTCTGTGCGGCCACAGAATCAAAGTTCAGAGCAAGTAAGCACCCCGCTCCAAACACAAGGAAAAGGGCCAGAGAGAGCAGGGAGCCTCCGAGGAGTTGGTCAGACAAAACTGATGTTCTCACCCACCCTGCAGATCCAGCTCAGTGCCACTGACACGGCCAGTTGCAGGACAAAGATTATTTGGAGGTTGGCAGATGAGGCTGGATTCAGAGAACGACGTGTTTCCAGCCTCTCAGCTGCCTGTGTGTGATTTCAGCCTCTCAGCTGCCTGTGTGTGATTTCACTGCCATGGGAGAGCATTGAGCGGGGCTTTTTCTGACCAGTTGGTGTGAGAGTTATGTTGTTGGGGTTGTTGGGGTTGTCATCCTCACCTCATCCTCACCCCCGGGTCTTGTCGCAGGGGAGGAGAGCAAGTCTGTGGGGTGCATCACTGCATGGATTCACTCCCTAAGGAGCCGTGCAAGGCAACTGGAGCCCAGCCGGTGGGCGGGTGGCCTCCCCACTGCCTCGGAGACAACCTTGCCCACCACAGGGCACACAGGCTCCACACAGCCAGCCTGGGACGGTGGGGGAGAGACGGAAACACGCTCCCTTGCAAGAGGCAGTCGCGAGTTAAAATGCCGTCTTGCTCTTCTGACTGCTTTTTCCAGGCGGTAAGAATTTGTTAAACACACCTGGTGTTCTGGGAAGGGTGCATTCTATGGGTCTTGCCTGGGAGGGATAGGATTCTATCCTCTGAATCCCCTATCGGCATCCCTTGGCCTGGAGCTGCTCAGTGTTCATGGATTGAATGGGCAATGAAGCTTGCTTGTAACTTTGTAGGGTTAGGGGGCTAAAGAATCTTGTAACTATGTTTTTATTGTTCTCTTGTATTAATTCATCACCACTCCACCCTGAGCTCTCCCTGTCTGTGAGGGGTGAGGTGTCATGAAAGGTTAAGGTGCCGCTGCTGGACCCTGTGCCCTGGGAGAGCAGGTGGACTCATCAAAAGTTATGATGGTTTACAGGATTTGTTGCTTTGCTTGTTTTTTCAATTGGTTCAACTGTAAAATGTCCAACCCCGAGACCATCAGCAGTATTTTAAATGAATCCTGTGAATCCTGTCACTTCTTACATGTTTGGTGGTTTAGCTTATGTGCAAGTCAGTATGTTCCCAAGGAGTTGTCCTGGGCATTTTAAGAGTATCATGTTGTAACTTACCTGCTCTGCCCACAGGAGGTGGGAAAGGGGAGGCGAGGAGGGAGAGTCACATCCCTGCAGCCGATGGGGACTCATAGCTGCCTTCTGGAAAACAGCGTCTAAAAGGAGTACTACTGTTTTTACTTTACTCTGTTTTCTTTGTTTCAAGTTTTTATTTCTTGAAAACCTGAAGTTATACATTCAAGTATCCCCTTTGTGTGTTGCAGGATGTTAAAGTCTTTAGAAGATGGGACGAAAGAAAGCGGTGGAGATTCTAGCAGACATGACAGCCAGGGACCTGTGCCAATTGCTGGTTTACAAAAGTCACTGTGTGGATGACAACAGCTGGACACTAGTGGAGCACCACCCGCACCTAGGATTAGGTAGGGAACCATCGGAACAGGAATGGCGCCTGGGGATACTCACGTGCAATTGAATGAAGACCGCTGCTGCCAAATGCCAAATATGTGAACACAGTGTCCTTTGGTTAAATTAGCAGGCAGTCTCTGGGTTCCCCGACTCCTCCTGCCTCTTCTGTTTCTCCTAAACTCTCCACCCTCCAGCCCCCTTCCCTAGTGCCGGGAATCTTGCCTCGATGGTTGAGGTAATAACTTGCCCAAGGGCTCAGACACGGAGAGGTTCCCTGTGGCTTGTCCGGCCTCCCCAGCTGTCAGAGCCACGTGGAGCTTGCTGCACACCTGTGGGCAGGGAGGAGGAGGTGCCTCTTGAGGTGCTCCGGAGAGAGCCGGCCACGCACAGGATTGCAGCTGCCCCTCTGAGATCAGCTCTTCAGCTCATGGGAAGAAGGGAGCCATGGTTATAGGCAACAAAGTGCAGAGAGGTCTGCTGGGAATTGGAGCAAATTAAGGAAGCACTTTGTTGTAAGTTCGAGTTGAGTCTTTTACATGGCACTTCTGCATGCTACAATAAGGCTGAATGGTGTAATGTGGCACGGGTGTTTGTGTGTGCGCATGTCGTGCCTAAAAAAGCAAGAGAATATTTGTATCAAGGTGAGTATTTGAAGATATTGACTCTTTAACAGAACTTATTGGAGGTATTTGTCTCGGTAGCTTATTTTAGGTAAACTTTTCAGACTTTTGCTTAAATTCTTATCTGATAAAATATAGTTCTTATAAAAGTCATAGTAAAATATTTAAAACCAAAATTTTATCTAAATCAACAGCTATATTTGTTCCATGTCTCAAGGAGAGAAAATAATAATAGATTGGAAACGTCCCATAGTTCTGATTTTTCTCATGAACCTTTTTTGAAAGATTAATAAATTGAGTTTAAACCTCTAGGTCTGGAGTATTGAATTTAAACCTCTAGGTCTGGAGTAGCATCCTTCCAGGTAATATTATACAATTTAAGCCTAAATAATGCAGTGTAAATTTGAGCTGATACCACCTTAAGTCTCTGTTTTCTAATGCACCCTGTACTTTGGGCAGATGGTATGCTTTCTGAAGGAATTAACAGAACTCTTTGCTGGTTTCTTTCCCATCTCTACTAATTGTTAAACACATTTGTGTGATGACAGAAGCCTTCTCCTCCATTGTCACTAACAGCCCTGCCAGGATCACTTACTAGGTCCACAGTTAGTGACCATGATGTCACAGTTGTTCCTACCGGAGACTGGCGTCCCATCAAACTCCAGCTTAGGACGCCCATGAGTGGATCCTACAGGGTCTTGAGAAGGCTGTCAAAAGCACCTGTTGACACACAAGTAACTTGGAAATTAAATAGCAGGAAACCTTCAGTACATGTGTCTCTACATGTGTATATATATATGTGGGGGAAAAAAAAACATATATATACACAACTTTAAAAACAAGTCTGTATAGTTTGACCCAAATACAATGATTATTGTTGAAAGCCCATTCAAAGTCTGACTATTTACTCTTGAAAACCATGGAAGGGACTTCTGCAGATACTTAGTACTTGAATATAATTGGACACACTCAGGACATATGGAAATTTTGTACAGATATACATACATAAAATTAACATGTAAGGAATGGTTCAGAATTTTGAACTATCTATTTCATGTGATACCTTTGATTTCTAGACTACTGTGTGGTAGATAAATAAATGATACATTAAAACTTTCACCAAATGAAGAACCATTTACTCTGAGAGAATAGAAAAACAAATGTTGGTAAGCACACAGGATTTGCAGGGATGTGTGATATTTACAGCATCTTATTTTCTTTTCCTTTGTAGATGGACTTAATACACTCTTGTGGGGGATGACACTTTCTTATTTTAAAATTAAGTATAAAAAGGAAAAAAACGGGAAAAAGGGAAACAAGTGAAATTATCAAAAAAAAAAAAAAAAAGGAAAAAAGCACACTGTGTCATACTTGGTCTGTTTCACAAAAAAAAGTAAAAATGAAAAAAAAAAGAAATAACCCTCACACAGCCAGGATTTTGCAGATACATGAAATTTTAGAATATCCTTCCTCTCCTTTCTTCTTCTAGTTTTTCTAATGGCCAGTTCCATTCTTGCTAGTTACTGGGAAACACATTTTCATCGTTGGTTTGGTGAGGACTTTGCAAGCTTTAGAGTCACCAGTTTCCCAGCCTGTAAGGTCAGCACCCCAGGACTCATTCCTGTTGGCACAGAGCTTGCATCCCCCCATCCCTAAGACTTCTGAATACTGTTTGTGGACTCAACCTTGTCACTTAATGTTTTCTAAAACATGAAGTTGCTGTTTAACTAAAAATCTTATTTCTGCCATGATTTGTTGGGTATCTGTGCGATCAGAAGCTCATTAGTGAGAAAATGCAGGGCTGTGGGTGCTCTCTCGAGAGTCTGTTGGTATCTCAGCTTATCCCCCGAAAAGGGGACGGCAGCAAGGCCAGTAGGGGGTTCTGTTTGTCATGGATGGTAATACTGGGCCCTTCTGGGCCTCCAGCCTCAGGCACATCCTTGGTGATGACACATTCCTTGTAGAGAGCACTTTCCTAGGTAATTGTATGTCAGGTATTCACAGGATGTGTATACAATTGTGGCCAGGCTGGGGCAAAAGGCAGTAGAAGGTGTTCATAGGGCAGATACTAAGGCAGATTGTAACCCAAACTCCCCATAATTGAAGGTATAGGCACTCAATTTGACAGTATTTTAAGCCTATGTATAGCCTCCAGAATTGAGGATTTCAAAGTACAGCACATTATTATTGATTGAATATCCCTAATCGAAAATCTGAAATCTGAAATGCTCTCTAAATTCAAACATTTTGAGTACTGATTTGATGCTCAACGGAAATGCTTCAGCTGAAGCATTTCTGATTTTTGATTTTGGATTGTCTAACTGGTAAATATAATGCAAATGTTCCAAAATTTAAAAATCCAAAATCAAAGCTTCTGGTCTTAGGCATTTAGGATAAGGGATATTCAACCTGTATAAGGATCTTAACAGCTCAAAATATCAGTCCCTTATCAATATTAAACCTTTCACACCCAGAAGGAAGTGTGATGGCTTTAGAAAAGTGAGGCAGTTCCCAAGATAGCCTGCAGCTGTGGTTCCCTTCTGTGGAGAAAAGCACCCAGAAGGGTGCCTGTACCTGCAGGAAGGCCGCTGCTCTGGAGTTGCTGGTCACCCTCCACTGGCAGCAATAGTGGCATCCCTGTCACTCGGTAGAGTAGCCCTCTGGCTGAGGGTGGTTTGTCCCGTGCCTCGCTCTGCACTGTGCTTGTGGGTAAGCAGAGAAGGACTCCTATGAGCAGAGCAAGGTCAGGTGGCCCTTCCCAGTGTTAGCTCCTGGGAACATTCACTACTGGACGACTTGGAAAAGTTGTTGTGAAGCCCTTGCCCTGGTGTGCCTTAGTGACTGATGGTCTATTTATGATTCCCAGTTCAATTGTCCCTAAATGGTCCCTTCCTATGTTAGCACTGCCCCAGGTTCTACCTTGCTGGGGATGTTTCTGAGCTTCCAGTGTCTGGAGTGGAGTTCTTAGCCTGGAAAACACCAACCTGGGACTCCAAGCCACTCAAGAGCCGATAGTAAGTCCAGCTTGGGTTGCCAGAATGGGACAGGTCTTTTTGGAAGGTGTCCCCATCCCTTCTTAAGTTCCTGAGCATGTGAGCTGCAAGTCTCTGGAAGGTTCACTTTAGCCAGGGCAGCTTCACACATGGAGGATGCAGTGATATTGAACAGTCAGCCTGCAGACATACTGCTAAATAAATTATATTTTAAAAGGTATTATTGGCCAGGTGCTGTGGCTTATGCCTGTAGTCCCAGCACTTTGGAAGGCCAAGGTAGGAGGATCACTTGAGCCCAGGAAGTTGAGGCTGCAGAGAGCTGTGTTTGCATCACTGCATTCCAGCTGGTTGACAGAACAAGACCCTGCCTCAAAAATAAAAGATAAAAGGAATGTTGAAAAATAAAAATTTTAAACATACAAAAACTATGCTAGTATCTTGTTGCCCTGAACTTGAAAAATGGGATTGCAGATAAACCCATCCCTGGGAATGTGGCAGAATTCCGTGCTCAGGCTTTGGAGACCAGGGGCCCCTAGTGAAACTGTAGACATCAGTATACTAAGGTCAGATAATCTGGGAGAGGCTGGAACTTACACAGAGAACACAGTAAAGAGAAGAGGGTTTCTGCCAGATCCTACAAATTTCAAGGATTGAGGAATTCTGTTGTCCTGAGAATTAGGTTGAGACAAGAAGAGCAACAAGTCCTTTTCGGGCTGTTTTTACAGCTTTGTGCTTGTTCCTCCTGGTCAGGATGAGAAATGCTGTGGCAGTAACTCTGGAGGTGCTGGCTGCCACGCTTGGATGCTGACAGCTGACATGCAGAAAGGTGTGGAGGGAGAAGCAGCCGGTTTCCGCTGACCCTTGCTGAGTAGAGGGAGCCTTCTGCAGGCTGGTTTTATGTCCCTCTCTCCCTTTTACGTGTAAAAAGCAACAAAAGATGTCCTTTCCCCACTAAAATTTATAACAGAAGTCCACTATGGCCTTATCCACATGTCAGGGCTATCTCACTGATTACTGTGTTGACAGTTTCTTAGCCTGGGAAAGCCCTGAGCTTGCTGACAGCTCTTTTCTTTCCCTTGGGTGGGCTGTGCTGAGGAATGACAGGCAGGGAGCGGAGCCTGGGCGCCACAGCTCAGTGTGAGGCTGAGACAGTGGGGTACACATCCTCTGTGCACTGGCTCTGCCATGGCCCCTCCGCTGCTATGGCAGCACAGGTTTCTGCCGAGGAGTCACACTTTAGCTGCAAGGGTTAAGGCAAAGAAGTAGGATTCTTTGAGTTGTCTTGATATTTAAATATTCTTTGAGGAGTAGAGTAATGTTAGCCTTAGTTTCAGAAATTTGAAAATACAAATGTACTTCAAAGAATTTTTGCCTTTTTCCATTTCCTTAAATTACTTTGGAATATTATCATGAAAGTAATGTGTTCCCATTTAACTTTAGGGGCCATTGTAATCATATGCAGTTTATAGATAGTGATGTGATTGTTTATAATCATGCAAGGTCATTTGAAAATACATGTCTTTAAATCACGGAGAAAATTAAAACTGGAGGGAAGATCTTTGAACAGATGTTGCGCAGTCAACAGCCGACTGGAACACTGGTGCCAGGAGCATTTGTGCCGGGCACTCCAGCTGCATCTGGAGGCTGCACAGCTCTGCATCTCTGAGAAAGGGGTCACTCAAGCCACATTGTGTTTGGTTGACCTGCTGTGAATGAGGAAAAGGAGTTGATGTTTTGTCTTGGGACTCACCTCGGGATGGTAGGCGCCCTCTGAGTCACTAAAGCACACTCCTTTCAGGATACAGTTGGGATCACAGCCCACCGGTTATCCTGAATTCCTGGGCTCCCCTTTGCCAGGGCACCTCAAGCCTTCACCTGTCCACCTGGATCTGACGGCCAGACACGCCCTGTGTGTTTACACTGCTGTGTGCAACTTTCCCACCATCTTTCCAGGGCAGTGCAGGGAGACAGGGCATTATCCAAGGATGGGCGCCTGCATGTGGGTTTGGCCACCCCTTTAGGCCTGGGTGGCTGCCTCACATCCTCTTTGGCTGTCCTCGGGGTTCTTTGGAGACAAAATGCCCTTTGCTTTGGAAACAGACATATTCTCCTCACTTAGGTAGCTGTCACCTCCCATTTTTATTTCTCCTTATTTTGCCTGATAAAATTTTTGTTCTGTAAATCAACTATCAATAGTTTATTAGATTGTTGGTTTGGTTTGATTTTGTTTTTGTTTTTGTTTTTTCCTGTAATTCACAGAAAGACATTTTTCTCTGAATAAACATTTCAACAGAAGTCATTGATTTGTTTTCCCCTTCTTGGAAAATTCATTTGCGATGAATGAACCTCTTTTGGAAAGCAAACTCAACAGTTTTTGTTGTGACATGTTCTCTGGCTTCCTCTCTTTTCTATCATGGGAGACACGAGGCCGTGGTATTGGTTCACATGTTGCTAGCAGCATTCCCTCCCAGACAGGGACAAATGGGAACTGCTCCACACTTGCTGGTGGTGCCAAGTCTGAGCTTTCTGGCAGCCACGGGAGAAAAATTCTTCTTCACAAACTCTGGCTTTAAATGTGTTTTTACCATGAATCCTTTCTCGTAATGTCAAAACCAGGGCCGAGAGTACTAATCAGCTCCAGAATTTGCTTCTGCATGCCAGTCGGGGCCCATCTGAGATGCGTGCCCATGGCGACAGTTGTTCTTTGTAGACGGCAAGTCTTTTCTGCATTCTTAGATCACTTTGACTCAGAAATGCTTTTGCCTTTAACTTCATTCCTTCCTTCCAAGATGAAACTTTCCTCAAGATTCCAGTCTGGCTGCGGGAGAGGAGGGTAGGGTCTTAGGACGACAGAACTGCCCTGGTGTCAATTCCATAGCATGTTAATCTTTACCGTTTTTGGCATCAGTTCACACTTTGAATTCCTGCTGTACATTTGTTCTTGTTTATTCCATGATTTAATAAGGTTAGTTTCCCGTGGCTACCACCATCCTGTGACGCTCTTTATGGAGTGTGCCTGGGAAGGACGTAGCTGTCATGAAAGGGAGCAGTGCGGTCTCCAGGCACATGCTGTTCCAGAGTATGCTGAGAGTTCTCTCCAACACCTGAACCACTCGTGTGTTCACACAGTGAGGAAGCCACTTTTCCTTTCCGGGGACAAAAGGCGAAGTGGAAGATGCTGTGAAGGAGGCATGTGCAGTGTGTGTATGCATGCGCGGCGTGTGGTACGTGTCCGCAGCGGGTGCTGGAGGATGGAGTGTGTTTTTTTTCCCTGCCTTTACATGTAATTCAGTTGACAAGAACTATTCCATGATGTGGTGCGTGCAGGCTTCAGCGTGAAAGATGAGTATGTACATACTGTCTCGCTGTGCGTCACGGCCCTCCACAGTGCACAGCACCATCAGCTTGGCAACCAAGTTTGATGTCATTAGAAAGCTTCCATCTCGGCCGGGCACGGTGGCTCACGCCTGTAATCCCAGCACTTTGGGAGGCCAAGGCAGACAGATCACGAGGTCAGGAGATTGAGACTGTCCTGGCTAACATGGTGAAACCCCGTCTCTACTGAAAATACAGAAAAATTGGCCAGGCGTGGTGGCGGGCGCCTGTAGTCCCAGCTACTCGGGAGGCTGAGGCAGGAGAATGGCGTGAACCCGGGAGGCAGAGCTTCGAGTGAGCTGAGAGATTGCGCCACTGCACTCCAGCCTGGGCGACAGAGCGAGACTCTGTCTCAAAAACAACCAAAACCTTCCATCTCTGGGCCCTCTTTGGTCATCCACCTCTCTTTTCTAAGTTCTTTTTCTCCTTTGTTTCTTGTTATAGTCTTTTTCTTTTTACAAGAATTGAAATTTATTAATTTAAGGGCAAAATCATTTGCTGAGAGTATTATGGACTCATTCCTTAACATCTGGTTGATGCCAAATTCAAAAGAAGTATATAAAAATAAGTATTGACTCAAATTCTCATGCTGTGTATCTTAAGCACTTCTTATGAATTTGTAGTGCATAAAAGAGAGATTTAAATTTAGTTTCCTTCCTGACCTCGTCTCTATTCATAATGTTTAAAGAATAGAAAGTTGAACAAATCTTGCATTTGCTGTAAAGCTACCATGAATTTCCCACCTGTTGCATCTCACATGTGATATTTTTGCCCTGCAGAGAGGTGCTTGGAAGACCATGAGCTGGTGGTCCAAGTGGAGAGTACCATGGCCAGTGAGAGTAAATTTCTATTCAGGAAGAATTATAAAATACGAAGTTCTTTTAAAATCCCATGGTGAGTCTTACGTCTTCAGGTTTGGGGTTTGGGACTCTTGACATCTGGAAGTTTATACTTGCTTCATAGTATCAGATTAGAAAGTGACTGGAGAGGCACGACGAGATATGGGTTTGAGAGTCAGAGTTGCAGTTTAATGAAGCAATCCTTGCTTGAAACCCAGTCTTGTGCTTCACTAAATGTGCCTGGGGCTGGCTGAAGATAGAGGTCTCCTTCAGTCAGGACACAGTAAAGGGGGTTAGTCTCTAAGACAGGAGCTGGGGGAGACTGGCCGCTTGCTATTTTGAAAGTTCTCATTAAACTGATCAAACACTTAGCAGAAGAAAACTCATTATTCTCTGTACACAGCGAATTACATTTTGTGATCATACGTGGAAGAACACCAGAGAACCAGCGCGATTGCAGGTGTTCCTGAGCTTGGTCTCTCTTCCTTTTCTCTTTGGGAAAGAAGGCACTTGTCCTGTGAGAGGCCGGGATAGGGAGGGCACCTCCTAGCTCCTGGGGTACTTACTGTCATCCTGAGTCATGGGGCAGAGCTGTGTCAGCTGGGGAGAAGACCCAGGGTCATTTCTGACTCTGATAATTTAGCTGCTTTTATTCCAGAGTAAGTAAACTGAAGACTGTTACCGGGGAATGCAGCAGAAAAGGCTTTTCTCGTGACTGGGCTTAGCCTTAGTTTCAGGAATTTTATCTCGCTTCAGCACTTGTGCCACTGGGCTGGGATGCTGGCATCGCTCTTTGCCATGGAGCATGCTGTGAGACGTGCATCCCTTAGTAAACATAGGTGGTATTCCATACTGTACTCCAACATTTCAGGACATGGAACACAACCTTTTGAAGGAGCTGTTTCTTCTGTGTGATAGGAGAATAAAAAGGACTGCCATTTTAAATACAGGTGTACATAATTATATTGGTAGGAATAGTTTTAAAATTGACATATCTATATGACATACCTTCCCTCACTTTGAAACTAACCTATCACGTATTTGTTTTTTCCCATTTTCTTAGAATTTCTTCCCAGAACAGATGGTTACTTGGTGCCAGCAGTCAAATGGCAGTCAAAGCCAGCTTTTGCAGGTACTGGGCCAAAATAGACCTCTGCTGAAATAGACTTTCTGAATAGAAATCCTCTTGGAACTGAATGGCAACATTGTAAAAAACCTGAAGAGATTGCATCTTTCATCATTTATAACCTTGGCTCTTAAGGGGGTTTAGAGTAACCAGAAATTAAAAAGTTTACTTGGAAAATCTGTGTGTAGCTGTATTCCTTCTAAGCCAAACAGGCACTTACACACAGAATGCCCTTGCTCTGACTTAGAGGAGTCCAGCACACTGTTGAGTGTGGGGCTGGGGGTGCATGGAGAAACCTCTGTTTCAGGGCTGGCTCCCAGCCCTTTCTGGAGCAGGGTCCCAGGTCAGGCCACCGCCCAGCTGCTTGGAAATCTCTGCAGAAGCGCTGAGTCTAGAGTAAAAGATGATCGGGTTACCACAACAGACTTTTACAAGTAACTTGCCATACATGACAAATAAAGAAACCTGCTTTAATTGTCCTAAAGTCTGTTCTGAGAAAATCTGGTCTCTCCCCACCTCCTCTTCCAGTGGAGGGAGCCACCAGGGCCTCTGTGCCCAGCTGTCACACACGCCTTCCAGGGAAGCTGGGAGCAGGGAATGGGAATGTTACAGCTACACCCTAAAAATATGCCTGTGTACATGTCAAAAGTGAGAGAATGAACCATTTCCTAAGGCCACCAACAATATCCAGGTTGTCTATTACATGTAAGAGAAACTACTAAAATTTAGTTCCTAGAGAATTCTGCTCATAAGCCCTTCTTTTGCTAGTGTTGTTATCACTCAAATTTGTTTCCAGCATCTAAAAGATAAGAGCTTCAGAGCTCTTGTTCTGGTGGTGTCTTCGCAGGGCTCCTTCTGACTCATAGCATGTGTCTGTTCTTGGGTGAGAGGTGTTGCCGCTAAGGTACTCACCTATACAGTGAACAGGAAAATGCAGTACATTCTGTTTTAGTAATCCTACCTTGACTTTGGGAGGATGTGTCAGAAGATATGCTGTGGTCTCTTGAGACCCAGGGAAGGACTGACCCAGGTGCACTCAGGACTCTGTCCGATGTGCCTTTCCCACCTGGGGAAAAGAGCTTGTCCTCCCGGTCTAGTAGCAGGACTCGCTAACGTCACCTCCCAATCTCGCTCCGTGACCTGCCCTCGGCCTGGTCTTCCTTTGATGAAAAGCGTAGTTTCTTGTTTTGTTTTGTTTTGTTTTGTTTTGTTTGATAAAGGCTTATTCTTAAGGCTGCCTGTGGGAAAAGCGGCGGAATGAGGGGGCCATCACCAGGATGTCCTGCACCTGGGCTCCATCACTTGCAGACAAACGACACCTTTATGATCCTTGACTGAGGGGTGCCTGGGTAAAAGTGGCCACTACAGGCTCACTCTCAGTCCCCAGAGCCCCAATCACTCAGTCGTGGCACTTGCTCTTGCCCTCAGTCTGATATCAGACTGGATCCTTCAGTGCACTCTCTTATAGGGAAATTGGTGACTCGTGTTATCACCAGTGTTAGAAAGGTCCATTTGTTGCATGTGTTTAAATAAGGAATTATGTTCTATGCAGCACCAATTGAGATGGGATTTTAAGACTTTGGAAAAAGGAGAACACTCCCAGTTTGATCAAAAAGGAGTCTTTTAATAATTCAGAAAATGTCAGTTGGTGCTAATAACATGTCTGCTTTAATTATTTTAGATTAGCATTATGTAATTTTTAAAATTTGTTCTTCAACAGAATTTTTCTTGAACTCCAGTAGCTGTCCTGAAATTCAAGGGTTTTTGCATGTGAAAGAGCTGGGAAAGAAATCATGGAAAAGCTGTATGTGTGTTTGAGGAGATCTGCCTTATTGCTCCACCAAGGAACTTCAAAGGGTGAGCTTTAAAACCTGCCACCACCAGCTCTGATTCTGCCTCACACTGCCTCCCGAGTCCTCAGAGTAAACCTGGCCTCCATTCTTTTAAATGCACCTCTGACTTCCAAGCTCAGACAACTTCTTAATAAGCTAATTAAAATAACAGCTAAACTTGGAGTCACAGGTTTCCTGGTCCCTCAGAAACTAGGTAATAAATAATACATACTCAAGAACCCCACCTGCTCAGCCTCACCCCCACTGTGGTTGCAGCAGACTCCCTCGCTGCCCCATCACTGCTAAAGACTGGCCTAGTTCTCATAAGTTGGGACTTGCTAGCTATAAAGATGTTTGATAGTGTTATTAAGCAATTTTTAATGCTAAGTAACTTTATGTATCAGATGTTTTATGAAATAAATTGCAGGTTTGCATGTATCCGCAGTGAGAAGAAGGTGGGGGAGATGAAAACAGCTACAGGCTCAAAAGACAGCTGGTAGCACTGAGGGCTTAGCCGGAGGCTCCTTCGCTCCCATATACTTTTGCCTGCCTTCTTTCTCGCTGTCCACATACACCCTGTGCGGAAATCCATGTCCATTCAACGTGTCTGAGCACTTACCATCTGAGGGCTACGGCCCTTTTACTCTGGCCAGCAAAGGAAAGGGAGCTGGCAGGACTGGCACAGGTGTTGGAGCATTGTGGCCAACTCTGGGAAGTCAGCAGCTGCCGAATGCATGGGCCAGAGAGAAAGGGGGTCATCTGCAGAGAGGCCGGTCTGACACAGGGCATAGTAGTGTCCTCACCTCCCAGCTGTGTTGTGTGTATCACCCAGCATCCTCGTAAAATAAGTCGTGAGATTATTTCCTAGAGTAGGAAACAGAGCTGGGCTGAGAGTTGAGGAGGAGAAGGGCAGGGACAAGCTACTGTGTGGAAACCTAGGTACGGCTGGACTCTCTGATGTGCACAGCAAACCAAAGGCAGATAGCCCTGTGCTCTTAACTCTGACCTTGGGTTATAGATTTTCTGCTTTTATCTTGAACATTCAATATGGGCTGATTTGGCAGAAGTATCAAATACGTTCCAACAGTCTTGTGTGTCTGAGAACTAAAGTGGGTGTTTGGGTGAGACTGGGTGAATTTGGTTTTAGTTTAGCACTTATTACACCTCATGTAATAACTATATGTAACATGTAAAGTGTCATTGAGGAAAAGATATGTGCAGAGACTGCCCTCTGTCTACCGGAGGTGAACACATTTACCCTTTGCTGGGCTTCTGAGACTTTAAATCTCCTGGCCGTTGTTGTCACAGGAACCCAGACATCCTGCAGCTGCGCCGACTGGAGGACAGCAACATCTTCTCCCTGACGCGTGCAGTGAAGCAGTACAGCCCCTACAGACCACGGGCTCTGCATGTTGCACTCCCCTAAGCTGTCCACAGACAGCGCATGCTCAGCAGCCCACTAGAAACTGACTCCCTTCTCTTGCCCAGCACTTGATTGTTGCTTCTGTTGTCTTCAACAGAAACATAGTTTGCCACTGGATTTCTCCATTCCTGTAAAAACATCTATTGTACACTTGCTGCTGTCAGTCCTTGAGTAGCTCAGAAGCTCAAGGACAAGCAAACAGGGATAGACAGTGTGGCCAGTGGACTCAGTGTTTTAGGAGGTGGCTCTTGGCTTCAAGGTGGGCTGTGGCTGTAGCCAGCACTAGTAGCTGGAAGGGGAGGCAAGGTGGGCGAGAGACTCCAGCCTGTCACCTGGGTTGCCTGCATGGTATCACTGAGTGAGCTGATGGCTTGTGTGGGGCTTCTGGCCGTGGGGACAGTCAGATAGTAATGGACACAATGCGGCCCACCCTCTGCATGCACACACACACGTGTGCACACACATCTACATGCACATACCACACGTGCATACATATATGTATATACACCTGTGTGCATACACATCCATTATCCACACATGTACATAGACATACACATGTGCACACACCTTTCAGGCAGAGCCTACCTCTTCCCCTGATGAGGTTGTGATGGTATTAATAATCATAATGGTAGATGATA